CCATCGCAACGCTCAATGCAGATTGCCGACGGCCAGGAAGACTGGGCTATGGACTCTCCATGCTGATGTCGCTCTCGGGGGAGGGTCGGAGCCGAAGCGCTCACGCCCACCGAACACGGGGAGAACGACGAGGAAGAGGCGGTAGGAGGGGGGAGATAGCGTTGCAGAGTTCAGGGCGGCCTCCCAGGTGACCCGAAGAGGCGTCTTAAAAGGCTGTGTGAAGACCCAAGGGACGGTGGGGCGTTTGGAGCAATGGCCATTGTATGCACATGCATGTATTCATGCGTACGCATATGTCTGTCAACAACATATATATGTATATTTACACATATATATATGTGTATACATATATATATATATATATATATATATATATTCTATAGATATGCATGCATGCACACATTTACGCGTATGTGTGTGTACACAGATACGTACATATTATACAATATTGGATCAATGCCGTACTAATCCAGTGTTGAGAATGGGTTCGTCTGGGGGGTCGTGTTGGGGCCCTCTTGTGCCATGTCAGGTCGCCCTGGGCTGGCAGTGGTCTGGAGGCCCTCTTGGCCCGTGTTGGGGCTCTCGTCGGCTGTTTGGAAAGCCTCCGGGGCCCTCGTGGGGCGTCTTGGGGCTCTCATGGGCTATCTTGGGCCCCTCTTGAGCCGTCTTGGGCTCCTCCTGGGGCCCTGGCGAGCTTGGGGGCCTCTTGGGCCATCGCGGAAACTATGGCCATGCGCAAGTGCGCGGAAATCGCCCCAAAGCTCGAAAACAACAGCTGTCGTTTGCTTTCGGGGACCTCTTCGGGCCCCCCGGGGGCCATCTTGGGACATCGTTGGCTCGTCTCGAAAATCTCTTCGAGACCTCGTCGGGCTTCTGCGGCCCTCCTGGCCAATCTTGAGCCCTCCAGGGGCGCTCTGGACTCAACCTTCACGGACTTGCTTAAATTGTGCCGGCGTGATTGTGTATGCATAAGTGGGCTGAGACCAGCAGTGCAACAATCTGCATGCATGTGTGTGTGTGTATATATATATATGTATCCGTTCCCCAAACAGTGCTTGCACTTAGGGGTTCTTCTAAAGCGCTGGGCCTGCGTGCTGGTCTGGAGGCTCCGTGCTCGCCGTCGCCGCCCCGTCGCCGCCGCCTCGCCGCCGCCCGTCGTCTGGGCCTGCGTTACGGTCTGGCGGCTCCGTGCTCGCAGTCGCCGCCCTGTCGCCGCCTCGTCTCCGCCCGTCGTCTGGGCCTGAGTGCAAGTCTGGCGGATCTGTGCTCGATCGCCGTCGCCGCCCCGTCGCCGCCTCGTCACCGCACCACCTAGATTGAACCACATGGAATCCACCACAAATAATGCACAATGTAGATTGCGCAACGTATACTGCACCAGCTAGATTGCACCACGACGATTGTACCACAAATATTGCGCATCGCATGAATTGCATAGCATAGACTGCACAAGTATGTCGCACATCAAATATTGCACAACACAGGTTTCACCATTTGAATGTTCCTCCCTGAGAAAGAAATAGGATCTACCCCCTGGGGTTGACGGGCCACCTTTTCGCATTGTTTTCGTCTATGATTATGCACTATCGTGTATCCTGAGAATAAAAATCATACCCTCCAAGTCTGTCAGGTCATCGACCCCCCCTTTCCTCCCTGTTACATAAGACAATCCGCGCGCACTCGTTTATCAAACATCATCAGTCTTTACAAATCCCACGTACTTGCCCGAGACGTACCAACTCCTTCTCCACGGAAGGTTAATATTTGTATGAACACTCCATACACAAGAATCCATCGCCAAATATGCACGATTGCGACAATTGCACAATTCGCAAACACCCAGGGGGCTGCGAGTTTTCGGGTACTCCCCTACTCCCCTGCGCCTCCCAGGAACCCACGAAAGCGGCGACAATTGCACAATTCGTAGCCTCCCAGGGAGCCGCGAGGTCTCGGTTAGATCCGCGTGGCCCCCGACTCCGAGGTGCCTCCCGAGAGCCGACGAAAGTGGCGACAATTGCGTAGTTCGCAATCTCCCGAGGATCTGCGAGGTCTCAGGTACTCCCCTGCTCCGCCGTTTTTGCCAGGAGCCAGCGAAAGTGGCGACAATTGCGCAGTTCGCAACCTCCCAAGGAGCTGCGAAGACTCGGTAGCTCCCCTGCTCCGCCTTTCCCAGAAACCAACAAAAACGACAATTGCGCAGTTCGCAATCACCCAGGGAGCTGCGAGGTCTCGGGTACTCCCCTACTCCGCCGTGCCCCCGAAGAGCCCACGAACATAGCGACAATTGCGCGGTTCGGAACCATCCAAGGAGCTGCGAGGTCTCGGGTACTCCCCGACTGCGCCATGCCTCCCAGGAGCTCACGACAGTAAGGACAGTTGCGCGATTCGTAGCCTCCCAAGGAGCCCCGAACTCTCGGCTGGCTCCGCGTGGCCCCGACTCCGCCGTGCATCTCAGGAGCCCACGAGGGTGGCGACAATTGCGCAGTTCGCGACCACACAACGAGCTGCGATGTCTCGGGTAGCCTCCCAGGAACCCACGAAAATGGCGACAATTGCGCAATTTACAGCCTCTCCCGGGAGCCCACGAACATAGCGACAATTGCGCGGTTCGGAACCCTCCAAGGAGCTGCGAGGTCTCGGGTACTTCCCTGCTCCGCCGTGCCTCCAAGGAGCACACGAGAATGACGGCAATTGCACAGTTCGCAGCCCCCCAAAGAATTTCGAAGTGTCGTGTACTCCCCTACTCCGCCGTGCCTCCCAGGAGCCCAGCACATTGGCGACAGTTGCGCAGATCGCAACCACCCAGGGGACTGCGAGGTCTCGGGTGCTTCCATGCTCTGCCGTGCCTCCCACGAGCCCATCGTGCCGACAGTTGCGCAGGTCGCCGCCGCCTGAGGAGCAGAACAGGAGGAGGCGGGAGGAGGAGGAGGAGGCAAGAGGAGAGGGGGAAGAGAAGGAGGAGGATTAGAGGACGCAAGTGTGCGACCGCAATGCTGTATTCAACGCGAGAACCCAATACAAGAAGTTTGCGGGCAACTGCGACGTGCACATACACGCGTCGTCGCGCGCGCATGCCGGCATCCTTCAACGACTGCCGGTTCCGCAAGGATTTCAAATTCGAGTGCCCCGAAACATCCAAACACAGATGGCTTTGCAACGTGCGTTTCCCCAAGAAGCAGACGTGCGCTCTTCTTAAGAAAATCACAAGCGCTTCACTATTCCATCATGTGCGACCAAGCTGACCTCTCGCGCGCGCGCGTCGGCATTATTCGAACGCCTTTGCGCGAGTGCTGGTGTGTGTGTGTGTGTGTGAGGCGGCGATCCGTTCAAATAGTACCATGCGGGCCACTCGCGCGCGTCGGCCGAGCGCGCATGTCAAAAACCCTTTCCAACGCCTTCACCACTGACGCGAAGACACCATCATCGTCATCGGTGTGATCAGCATCCGCACATTCATAGCCTTTGCCATCGTCATTGTCACCAGCGTCATCCGCACCGCTACTATCATCACCGTGTCTGCCGTTGTCGATATCGCCATGATACCGCGTCCTCCCGAGTCTCCGACTTGCTTTGATGTCCCGCGCGAAGTCGCGGCCTGCGAACGCGTGCTGCAAATCCCCAGCGGTCAGCGCCACCGAGGCCGCGTCCGTCGCGCCAAACTAGCTGGCCGCTCTGCTCCGGAGCCTGCGCGCTCTAGCGCGGCCGCAGCGTTGCGCTAGCAGCGCCAAGCAATCATCGCAATCGCCCCCGCATGGGTTTTGCAAAGCTAGTTGAGGGTGGGTGGGTGGGATGATTGTGCGAACAATGGGGTTGACAATTCACTGCGAACAACAATTAATTGCAGCACATCTACGGTACCACACATATTGTGCAACAGACATACTCATTTCTTAAAAAGAATACTCGGCTCTCCCACTTTCCCCTCCTGGACTTGACACCTGACCTACTCGTCTTGTTTTTCGTGTATTATTGTTCTGCGCACTCATCCAAGCTACATCTGATTTCATACCATCCCAAATAATCGCTGATCGACCCCGCTCATGCCGTGCAAAGAGATGCTACGCGCGCGCACTCGTTTATGAACAACCATCCGTTTTCAACATACCCCTTGACATAAGTAGACGAAATGCACACGCGCGCGTCGTCGCGCGCATGCCGCAATCCTTCAAACACGTTGGGTTCCGTAAAGGTTTCAAATTCGAATGTCCCGACAACATTTTTCAAGAACAGAGCAGAACTCCTTTCGCAACTGGAACTTTCAAGAACGCATTCGCTCGTGCTCTTGCTAATTTTTGAGAAAGCCATATGTTCTCAACGGAGATCGCCATGTATTCCCAGCGTGTTTCGTCACATGCTACCAAACGTGCCTCTCGCGCGCGAATGTCGAAATTATTCGAACACACTTGCGTGCGTGTCGTGATAGTAATTCCTCACATCAAACGAAACGAACTGCACATGCGCACGTCATCGCGCACGCATGCCAAATTCATTCAAAAAGCTTAGGTGCCGCAGAAATCCGTAAACATTCTTCACGCACTGAAGAAGAGACACACGCAACTCTGGTTCAATGCGCGCGGCCAACGTGTCGGAAGTTATGATTGTCGCGCGACTATTCGTCAAATTTGATGCTACGCAGGCTTCCGTGGAAAGAAGCACACAATCCGAGTTCGAGTTGCAAGAATGAGCCACTCAGGTAACAGTCGGGCCGCGGGACACGAAAAAGACGCATGAACATCGAACACGCCAAGGGAGCAGCCCGGCCGGGACAGGCAACCGAAATGATAAGCGAGACTGGGGGATGCAAGTTTTTGTGTGATCGAGTCCAACGCCCCAGAAAGCGCAACAGAGAGAGGACGCACAGCTGCGCACATCAGCGCCTCGAGTCTCCACGGGGGTGGGGGGGCGGGGGGGGCGCAGCCCCCGTGCTTCGCCCCATTGATTGAAGCAGATGCCCAAATCAGCCCAGAGCCACTCTACCGCGCCGGCGTGCTGGCTGGAGGTCAAACTGGCCCAGTCGAAAGGAGGAGGAGGAGAAGGAGGAGGAGGTGGAGGAGGAAGAGGAGGACGAGGAGGAGTGAGGAGCGAGAATCATCCCTGCTCGTCGAAATCTCCTGGTCCTGCTTGTCGCAGGCCATGCTCGTGAGCCACAGCACCTCCTCGCGGGAGGACCCCACGACCTGGGGAGGGCGAAATGTCTGTTCGACTGCTTCGGCGCAGAGCCCGTAGGAATAAACACATGCATAATCATCTATACTTTCGGAGGTCCGCGCGGACTTCTTGCTGCGCTGGTGGGCATCGTTTACCCGATCCCTATCCCCACTGGCGTAGCCTTGGTCCCACCGGCCGACTTCCCCCGAGGTGTGTGTGTGTGTGTGTGTTCGTTCGTGTCTCGAAGGGCCTGCGTTCAACTGCACGCAAGAGTGACCCTGGGTAAGAGTGACCTTTGGTGCGCGGCTCTTCGAGGGCCGCGGGGGACCGAACACGAGCGCGCCAACCGCCACTAATTGCCGCATCACGTCCGGCAATATAGGGGGACCCCATTGGGCCCGCACCAAGAGGTCACTCCGGCGAAGGGTCACTCTTACGTCCAGTCGACACGTACCCCCCAGTGGGGGCGGGGATCGGTCAGACGACGCTGAGCGGAGCACCTCATCCCTGGCGCGCAGAGCGCGGGGGCGGCGCTGGAAGCGCCGCCGGCGCCGACCCGAGGCGGGGCCGTCTGCTGCTGCCCTTGCGCTCCCACGCCCGGGCTGGCCGAGGCCACGCGGCGCGATGTCTCCGGCCTCGCCTCGAGCCCGCCGTCGGGATCCCTCCCGCAGAGCCGGGCCCACGCCCCTGCGGGAAGCCCGAGCTCTGCGAGTCGCCGGCCCCCGGGGCTCATGGCCCCCTCCCCGGGGCGGGTCTTCCACCTTGCGCCCGTGAGTGCGTCCTCCTTTGGACTCAGGCGCATGTGCTTGCGTGGCACTTCCCCCCGGACCCCCCCTCCTCTCCCCTGTTGGCCGCCTTTTCAACCAGCGCCTGGCCGAAAGGGTGCGCAAGCCAGTCCTGGACTTGCCTAAAAAGTCCGAACCTCTTTCGGGCCTCGCCACGTCTCACCCCCCCCCCTCCATGCAAGTAGACTTGCCAGGGATCAAAGCAGCGTCCCGGCAAAGCATCCCAACAGCAGCCTGGACAGGGGCGAGAAAGAAAAGATGCAGCCGGGACAGGTGAACAAGCACGTCCATGGGCACCTCAATGTATCTTCAACCACGGGTCGTGGCCGTTGGGACCAACCATGTAGCCAGCATTTGAGGCGAGAGCGCGACTCCCGAATAAGCTGAAGCCCCAGGCGAAACGGCTGCCGGACCTGACGGTCCATGCGGGGCTGGAGCCCTCCAGCGAGACGCCGCGGGCCCCCCAGACCTCGGGCGCCCCGCAAGAATCGCGACGGAGGCGTTTCATCGTTCTCGGCGTCTGGGGGGCCCTTGCCGGGCCTCGGGACCGCCACTCGGGACCGTGAAGAAGCGACTCGGGATGAAAAGCCCGCTCCGGGGAAGTGGCCGAGGGGTCGGGGGCCCGCGCCTCGGAAAAATCGAGGCGCGGGATGTCTGGAACGGTCGCTGCGCGTGCCGAGGCGGCGCCCCCTCCGGCGCGCCGTTTCCCTGCGAGCAGAGAGGACGCGTGCGGCTCCGCCGCCGCGCGGAGGGAGGCGGGCAAGGGCTCGGGGCGCGGGCGTCGGGGGACCGGGGCGCGGAGGCGGTCGTCGTGCTACCAGCAGGAGGAACACGCACAGGAAGGAACGCGACGCCCAGACGTCGGGCGCCTCGAAAGGGTCGCGACGGAGGTTTTTCATAGGCTTCGGCCTCCGGGAGGCCCCTGCCGGGCCTCGGGACCCTCAACAAACGATTGAGGATGAGAACCCGTCCCGGGGGAGTGGTCGGGAGGTCGGGGGCCCGTGTCTCGAAAACATCGAGACGCCGGATGTTGGGGCAGTCGTCGTGCTACCAGAAGGAACGGACAATAAGGAACGAAAGGGCTTCTCTGGCCACGGCGGGCCTGAGCCACAAGCAGGTTCCGCGACTCGAGTCTAAGAAGCAACCCGAATGCCCAAGTCCCTCCTGAGACCCAAGCGGTCTTTATTCCAGCTTCTTGACTGTGGCGCGTTGCGCCAAGGCGTGGCGGGCCAGAACCGGTGGTGCGACACGCTAAGCCGAAGCTTCTGATCGTATCATACTCCTCTAGCGAAGCGCTACGAAGGGAAGAACAACCTCCTTCTTGTTGGCCCGGCCCCGTGGCCCGCGGAAGCAGCCTCAAGGATGAGGAGGAGGAGGGGGAGGAGGGGGAGGAGGGGGAGGAGGGGGGGAGGAGGGGGGGGAGGAGGGAGGAGGAGGAGGAGGAGGGAGGAGGAGGAGGAGGAGGAGGAGGAGGAGGGGGGAGGCGCGAGGAGGAGGAGGAGGAGGAGGAGGAGGAGGAGGAGGAGGACGAGGCAGGAGGAAGATAACAGAGACATCGGGCGAGGGGAGCTCACAAAGCCGAGCGGCGAGAAACCTCTCATGACGGCTCTTTGCCTGCAGCCGCCGGAGGCGCAGGCGGACGGGCAGACAGAGGCGGAGAGGGAGAGAGCGGCGGGCGAACGCCAGAGCCCCACAGACGGGGGCTCCGCTACGGTGAGTGCGTCGGATAATGAACCATTGGATGAGGAATCATTGGATGAGAAACCGCTGGGGGGGAGGAGGGGGACTTTGAACGTTGTTGCGACGGGGATGGAGGGGGATCGAGGTTTCTGCAGGGCTCCACGCGGTTGGGAGTTTCTGGAGGCCTCTGGCGGCCTTCAGGGCCCCCCACCTCCCTTCCCCCCTCCCGCTGGTCACGTCCCGATTCGCGCCGGCGCCGCGTGGGAACGATAGCCATTCCTCAGCACTCCAGGCGGCGCCTGCGCGAATCGTGAGGTGACCAGCCGCCCCCTCCTTCCCCCCTCTCCCCCAGCGGTCACGCCCGCTATCGACGGTGAACGGAAACGTGTATTTTGCGTTGAACAGGGCAGTGGCGCGCTCTTAGAAGGAGGCTGCTTCTTGGAAGGCGCGGGCCTCACATCTATAGACAAGGCCCGCGCCTTCTTAGAAGCAGGGTTTCTTCTAAGCAGCCTTCCCCCCTCCCCCTACACCCCTCTGCGCGTGGCCGACTTACCCTCTCGGTGCGGCTGTACAGGCGGCCGGAAGGGTACTCGGACCTTCGTGCCCCTCCGCCTGCGCCTCCTCTTGCCTCCTCCTCGCCCTTTTTACGTTACGCGAACATCACTGGCGTTGCTGTTGTGCTCCGGTCATGAAGACAATACACAGACTCAACCAAAGTGGCCGACACATTAACCTGGTGAGATTAGCAGAACGCAAGGCCCGAGAGGGCACACATTGTACGCTTACCAGGCTTGCTCCTCCATCGTTCATGGTGTTTCTCCTCCTCACCCTCCAAAACCTCTTCCTCCTCCTCCTCCTCCTCCTTCCTCCTGCCCCCTCCTCCTCCTCCTCCTCCTCCTCCTCCTCCTCCTTCTCCTCCTCCTGCCTCCTCCCGCCTCTTCCTCTTCCTCCTCCTCCTCCTCCTCTTCCTTCCTCCTCGCTTCGTCTTCTTCCCTCTCTGACCCCCCTTGCCCCCCCTGACCTCCTGAGATGATGGGAATCTGCACCGTTGGCCCCCCTCCTTCTTCTCCATGCCCTGCTGCTGCTGCTGCTGCTCTCCTTCTTCTTCTTCTTCTTCCTCTTCCTCTTCCTCCTCCTCCTCCCCGGCAGTCAGACAGTGGAATAAGGACGCAAGGCAATGGCTCAAGACTCCATGGCCGTCCACTTTGCAACGGCATCGGCGAAGGGCAGACCAGAACACAGGGCCGAGCAGACGGACAAGGACAGCCTCGGCAAATTTCACATCCTTGCCACTGCATCTGCGCGCAGGAACGTTTGAATGCTCGACGTCGGCGGCGTTGCGGGGAGCACGAGGGTTTCAAGCCCGTCCGCGGCCTCCGATTTTGCCCGGAACCGGTGCGTTCCCCCCATCTGGTGCAAATCGGCAGATGCCTGGGCCAACACAAGTGCGCAATACATTAAACAAAGAAATCCCTGGAACGCACTCTCGTCAAACTTGAACCTCGGGAGGCGTCTCATCATTCCAATGCCCCTGGGGTCATCGGCGACGCGAAAACTCTCGTGAGACGCCTGCTGGCAGGCCAGGCCCACCAGCCCTCTGGGCGTAAGCGGTTTAGCGAGTTAGTTCTTCCAGCCCCGTTCTTACCTGTCGGGGAGGGGTTTACCCGACCAGTGCCCCCGCGTCGCAAAGCTTGCCCCTTTCCCGTGGACTGGATGTGGCTGCAATCTGGCGCGGTGGCCGCCACTGGCCAACGGTGGAGAGAAGGACAAGGCACCCATGAGAATCCTTGTTAGGCGGAACCTCGGATCTGACGGTTGGGGGGATCTCTTGGAACCCTTTCGGAAGTTTTTTGGGGTGCTCTTGGGGCCCTGTTGAGGTTCTGCTTGGGCCCTTTTGAGGCTCTGTTGGGACTCTCCTGGATGGCATGGTGTCACGTGCAGGTGGTCTTATGGGCCTTTTGAAGACTTCGAGCTCTCCTGTGGTCCTCTTTGGGCCCGCTTGGTCCGCTGTTGGCATCTTCGTGGGTCCATCTGGATCTGTCGTGGGCCCTTCTGGGGCCTCTCTTGGGCGATATTGAAGCCATTCGGAAACCTGAATTATTTGTGAGAAGTAGTACGGCGATATGTCCAATATGATCGGCCAACCATTTGACTTGGAAGTGTTTGGCCTCTCGGCGCCATCCTGGGCATGCTCTGTGGCAACCCTCGATCTGGAGGCCTCTTGCGGGCCCGGTGGAAGCCATCTTGGGAAATCGTGGGCGATCGCGCGCCATCTCGGCGGCTATCTCGGAGGCCGCCTCGCCCTGTCTCGCCCGGAGGAAGCCGAGACGGGGCCACACACGCTGGTTCCGTGGCCGAGTGACGGTCTGGCCATCGCTCGGACGTCCATTTCCTGTGTCTTTTTCGGTTTCGTGCGTGGTTTCTTCGCCAAATGATCAAGCATGCTCCTCGATGGTCCTCGCCGAAGAAAAAACGCACACGTCCGAGCGATGCCAGGCGGTTGGAGGAGTTGACCCGCTCTGCGCGGGGACGTCTTGCCCTGGGTCTGGACGGGTCCACCTGCGAGCGGTCCGAGCGTCCAAAGTGGCTCCATGACGGTCCAATATAGCCTAATATAAAGGGAAATTAGGACACACAAATAAATACACACAAATAAAAATAGAACCCATATTTTCCCATATTTTCTGGGTTTTTGTCTTCCCCCCCAATTCCCATATTTTCCCATATTTTCCTGGGAATCGAGGATTAATTGTGTCTGTATGTTTTTTTTCCCTCCTGATAGTAACCCAAGATGGCCTCCACGATGACACCAGGAGATCCCAAGGCGGCTCACTCTATCCTCCAACATGTCTCCAGAATGCTCAAACACTGCCCCAATGCGCAGCCTCCTGGGGATATCCCCGGGAGGCCCAAATCCTTCAAACACCTGGGATTGTTCAAAGTGTTTCGCCTTCTCACATTTTCGTGTACGATGGGCTTCTGAGGCCTCCAGATGGCTCCGCGATCGCAGAAGAGAGCTCCAAGAGGGCCCCAAGGCGGCTCCGAGAGCGCGTAAGGGCGCTTCACGGAGGCCCCAAGACAGATTTGTCGGCCTTGATGCTTATTGAAGACCCCCCTTCACCGATGGCATCCAGGATGGCGAGAGCCCCAAGAGGGCGCCAAATGCACCCAACAGGGCCCAAACTATCTCACACATCTCCCTACGAGGCCTTCAAGAGGCTCCCAGCGGCCTACGAATTCAGCCTTAGTAGCTGATTTGTTTCTTTCTCTTTCCCCCCCTCTCCCTTT